AAACGTAGTACGCCGCGGACGCCCGGAGCTGCCGTGGCTGGAAAGTCGAAATTTGTACAAACGTAGTACGCCGCGGACGCCCGGAGCTGCCGTGGCGCGAAAGTCGACTTTTTGTAGTGCAAACGTAGTACGCCGCGGACGCCCGGAGCTGCCGTGGCTGGAAAGTCGACTTTTGTAGTACAAACGTAGTACGCCGTGGGACTCGAACTCCGCGGTGTCGAAACCCTCGCAAATATCGTGGGACTCGAATTCCGGGATGTCGAAACCATCGCAAATATCGTGGGACTCGAATTCCGCGGTGTCGAAACCCTCGCAAATAGCATGGAAGCGGAATTCCGTACTGTCGAAACCATCGCAAATATCGTGGGACTCGAATTCCGTGGTGTCGAAACCCTCGCAAATAGCATGGAAGCGGAACTGTCGAAACCATCGCAAATATCATGGGACTCCAACTCCGCGGTGTCGAAACCATCGCAAATATCGTGGGACTCGAATTCCGCGGTGTCGAAACCCCTTCAAAGACGTCGCAAATACCGTGGGCGCGGAACTCTGGGGCTTCAAAGACGTCGCAAATACCGTGGGCGCGGAACTTTGGGGCTTCAAAGACGTCGCAAATACCGTGGGCGCGGAACTCTGGGGCTTCAAAGATGTCGCAAATACCGTGGGCGCGGAACTCTGTTGCTTCGAAAACGTCGCAAATACCGTGGGCGCGGAACATGGGGCTTCGAAAACGTCGCAAATACCGGGGGCGGAACTCTGTTGCTTCGAAAACGTCGCAAATACCGTGGGCGCGGAACATGGGGCTTCGAAAACGTCGCAAATACCGTGGGGGCGGAACTCTGTTGCCTCGAAAACGTCGCAAATACCGTGGGCGCGGAACTCTGGGGCTTCGAAAACCTCGCAAATACCGTGGGGGCGGAACTCTGTTGCTTCGAAAACGTCGCAAATACCGTGGGCGCGGAACTCTGGGGCTTTGAAAACCTCGCAAATATCGTGGGCGCGGAACTCTGGCGCTTCGAAAACGTCGCATATACCGTGGGCGCGGAACTCTGGGGCTTCGAAAACGTCGCAGCAAATAGCACGACGACACCACACTACCGTCGCAACATTACCATCACCACATTATCATCACCCCATTACCATCACCGCACTACCATCGCCTCAGCTACACACCGCTTCTCTACGCTGCCTGTTACATTCCATCTTCTTTGCGTTTCGCGTTCTTTTCGCCGTCGACGCCACACCTGCTTCCTATCCTACTACACCACACCACGATCACCGCACTGACAACACAACCAACTATACGTGTCAGTTGATATCTTTGCACTGATGGCTTTCGGGATAATCGGTGTCTAGTTTGTTGCCCTAAGGCTACTACATGGGAACCCCTTTAAGGCCCAAGTATATGCCTGTGGGTCCACGAGCCCTCTCGGTAAGCTGTAAAGCCCCACACCTTGAAACCCGAGGCCATAAAGCCAAAACCCCAAACCCGTTAAAATCTGCGCGCCCCGAAAACTAAAAAAACAACGTGTTTCAACTAAAAACAACCTCAAGCCTAAACCCTAAACCCTAGATCCTAAACCCCAAACCCTAAACCCCAAACCCTAGCCTCTAACCCCCAAACCCAAACCCATCAAGACACTTACTTTATCATTCTGAACAACCTATCAAGCCTTTCAAGCTTAGAAAACACTCGTGGAAAAACCCTTTCGCCCTTTAACAGGAACCCTAAACCCTAAACCCTAAACCATAAACCCTAAACCCCAAACCCCAAACCCTAAACCCTGCCAGCGCAGCTTCTCAACCCCAAAACACCACGAAAACGACGCCAAGACTGGGCGGGCAAACCCTAAACCCTGGAAATCCTACATCTCCCGTAAACCTGCAAACAGTATGAACTCTAGGAACCCTATAAACCCTATAAACCCTTTGAACACTATGAACCCTATATCTCCTATAAACCCTCCGAACAGTATGAGCTCTACAAACCCTATGAACCTTTAAAACCCTATGAACCCTTTTCAACCCTAGAAACCCTAGAAACCCTAGAAACCCTGGAAACCCTATAAACCCCATAAACCCCATGAACCCCATAAACCCCATAGACCCTATAGACCCTAAACCCGAAGAAAACTGGGCAGGTGCGACTCAGGGGAAGGGGCAGCGGGCACCGCGAGGACCCAGGCACAGGCCGGCCTTAAGGGGTACAAGGAGGGACCCCTAGAAGGGGCCCTTAATCTTCTTCCCCCTAAAGGGTTTAGGGTTTAGGATTTGGGGTTTAGGGTTTGGGGTTTAGGGTTTGGGGTTTGGGGTTTAGGGTTTAGGGTAAGATTGAATGCCCCTATATATCCCTATTATACTTGACATAGTCCCTCTGTACCTAAGTACCCCTGAGTAACCCTATAAGGGTCCCTCCTATACTCCCTTGACAGCCTAAACCCCACAATCCTAAGACCCTAAACCCTCAGACCCTGAACTTGTAGGGTTTGTAAGGCTTTGGGTCCGCGAAACCCTAAGACCCTAAATCAAGTTGTTCTGGGCCTGGGGGTTGGGGTTTGGGGTTGCGGGTTTTACCTGAACCCTAAACCCTAAACCCCGAAACCCTAAACCCTAGGGGCTCAGGGAGTTTATGATGTTCGGGCTTAGAGTTTGGGATTTGGGGGATGCTGGGCTTTGCGGTCAGGGTTGGGATGTTCCCCCTTGCAGTCCTCCATCGGGATTCTGATCGGGGGTACTAGAATCCCTATGAAAAAACTGTTAGTATCAGAGGGTGGCTATGTGCGCGAGAATGGGCCTCTGACTCGGGAAACATTGCTCTTCGGGTTTAGGGTTTAGGGTTTAGGATTTAGGGTTTAGGAGGCAAAAGGCGTTGTCCCAGCCGCATGCACTGAGCAGATTGCGTTGCGATGTGAGGCAGAACTCGTTGGTTTAGGGTTTAGGGTTTAGGGTTTAGGGCTTAGGGTTTAGGGTTTAGGGTTTAGGGTTTAGGGTTTAGGGTTTAGGGTGGAATGGCTCTTGCAAAGGCTAAGGTTTAAGTTCCCAGCGAATGTGAGAGCCACATCCCTCGGAGCGGGCGCTACAAACCTTTCATTTCCCTCCACATAGAGATCGGCATGTAGGGCGTAGTTTCACTGCGATACCTTCAGAGCTCAGACTCTGCGACTGGGCCGCTTCGCGTCTGCGAGAGTGGAGAGCAGCGAAATGGACCTCTCGCCGGCGTATGTCGGGTGCTACAGAAGCCCTGAACTCCGGAGCCCTCGCGGCCCCCCCCAAGGCTTCTGAGGCCTAGAGGTCGGTTTAGGGCCTAGGGTTTAGGGTTTAGGGTTTGGGGTTTGGGGTTTGGCAGCTATCTATCATCGGGAGCCTACAAGTTCAACCTTTTAGGGGCGCCCCCCTTTAGGGTTTTGGGTTAGGGTCCCGAACTAATGGAATATGTCCCCGAGCTACAGTTGGCATAGTTGTATGGGTTGTTCCCCGAAAAGCGGTCCCCTGGTATGGCCCAGAATACGATGGTCCCACAGGACCCCCAATGCATACTGGGGTCAAGGTGTTGGGTTTTGGTTGGCCATCGGCAGGCTTAACAGTATTTTTAAGGTTGGGGGTTCGGTAGCGATGTTTCTTTCAAGGTTTGCCGTGGGCTTGAGACCCCCATTCTTCCCCTTCAGCCCTGAAACTAGCCGAAAAGCTAACCCTAACCTTACTTGATTCAGGGCACCCCGCAAAAGAACCTGAGGTCAACAAGTCTTTGCTGGCCACAAAACCCCTTGCACATGTGCTGAAACCATTTCTGCCCTAAACCTTTAGCTTCAGGAGCCGCCGAAACCCTTTAACCTTGAAACCCTTAAGCCCTTAGATCCTTGAACCCCCAAGCCCGAAGCCCTGAAGCCAAGACATGCTGTTCCCTCAACTAGGTAGGCCCTTGCGAATATTCTCGACCCTAAGTAAGCCCTAAACCCTAAAAACCTAAACCTTAACCTTAACCCTAGACCCTAAAGGTTTTGCAGGGGTCCAAATAACCGTCCAGCAGTAAACGTGAGGTGGTCGAGGTGCTGCGGAAGCACCTGTGCCGCTGATGGTGGCCAGTGGCCCAGGGTGCTTGACTGAACCCTAAACCCTAAACCCTAAAACCCTAAAACCCTAAAACCCTAAACCCTAAACCTAAACCCGAAACCCTAAAACCCTAAGCCCTAAGCCCTAAACCTTCCACTTGCACAATAAGGCCCGCCCGCCCACCCCCCCCCCACCTCCTTCTTGCTATTGCGTCCGTTTAGAGTTCATAGGTCTGAGGGTCCCTAAGTCCCCAGAAGGTACGTGCGTCGGGCTGTTAGGGTTTAGGGTTTAGGGAGGGTTCATCGGGAGCATTGCTATCTCTCGTGGTCCGTAAGATTGCATAAGCCCTGAGGGAGTCGTCTTTAGGGTTGACGGTAGGTTTAGGGTTTTCGGGTTTAGGGTTTCGGGTTTAGGGTTTAGGGTTTGGGGTTAAGGGTTTTTGCAAGAGCTTCACAACTGGTCACCTGTAAGGCGGCCTGTGGACCTCTGAGTGAAACGTCACCGTCACCTAAACCCCAAACCCTGGTTTAGGGTTTAGGGTTTAGGGTTTAGGGTTTAGGGTTTAGGGTTGGGACCCTGAAACCCGTGTCATCCCCCTGTCACAGCACCCCTCAGATAAACTCCCATCTGTCGGGAGTGTTTGGATTTCCTTTTTCACCCCAAACCCCTACACCCCTAAACCCTAAACCCTATTCAGGTTTTGTGGAGGCTCTAGCCCTGACGGCTCAACTAAGGGCGAGTTGGCTTAGAGGGAGGTGGTCGGGGTGTGCAGGTAGCATAGGATCCCAGATAGGTAGCCTTTATCATTTCACCCCTTATGCAAAAGCCCTGAACCAAAAGCTAGCATTTGGTTGGAGATTGGGTTCTCTATATGTTATCAGGGTTTAGGTGGGTTTAGGGCGTCCTTTGCAGTTTGCCACCGCCTCCTACGGCCTTTGCATCTTGATGGGATGCGCAGTGGGCTGGCCGACTGTGCCACAAGCCTGCGGGGGAATGTCTCAAGGAAGGGCAGCCGCCTCTGCGTGTTCCTTTGTCATAGTTGGGTACCATTTACATTTCAGGGTACTTAAACCCAATAAGGAATATCAGTTTAAGTTTTTAATTTAATATCATCCCAACCATGAAGTAGGTTCCTTCTTCTGTGCTCGGCTGCTTTCGTTGCTCGCATTGGCTGGGAGTGGGCTTTGATGGCCGATACGCCCCTCGCAGTGCAGGAGATGATGTCAAAAGGTATCGCAACGCCAGGAAGCTCATGCAACCTGTCCACTGCGTCAGGGAGTGGACAGCAGGCTGGCTGGCAAAATGACAAGTGTGTCCTGTGGGTTGGTGGGGCAGAGGGATACACCAACCAGATTCTGTCCATGCTGGATGTCTATAGGCAGGTGCAGCCTAAAACGCTCGTCATGGCTCCCATGCGCACCGAGCATGCCTATCCCGGCACAAACCCGCCACAGTGTTTGGACGATGTGCTTGAGCTCCACAACACGGCGTGCCTTCATGCTAGTAACTAGGTTGGTTTTTGGGACATGTTTTACTTTCCTTATTTGATTTGATAAGAGACCTTATATATATATATATATATATATATGTATTTATTTATGAGTTTAAGCCTAAACCCTAACCCTAAACCCTAAACCCAAAAACCCAAAAACCCAAAAACCCAAAGCCCAAAAGCCCAAAAACCCAAAAACCCTAAACCCTAAACCCAGGTAAGGCCACACCGGAGGATGACCGCGACGAAGTCGTGAGCGCCATGAACTGCAGCTTTGATGCCAGGGAGTCGGGTGCGCTGCAAGGGAGGCAGGAGCTCGGCGACCACTACTTGTATCTAGGATGCCCAGTTAGTACCCTTCTTCCCCTTTTTTTTTTTTTGTGGGGGGGGGGGGGGGGGGGTTAGGTTCTAGGGTTTCGGGTTTCGGGTTTAGGGTTTAGGGTTTAGGGCCTTCAAGCAAAAAAGAGGCACCCTTTTTTAATCCTGGGTCACGGGGCAACCTAGGTATTGGGGTCTTCACCACGAGGAGTCGTGGAGTCATCTGCCGAAGATTGCATTCAACAGCTCATCACCAAGCTTGAACTGCGTGTTTTCGCGTTCCTGGAGTAGTAGCTTTGGCATCCTTGGGTAACATTTGACATGTTCAAGGGTACTTAAACTCAATAAGGAATAGAATGTTAGATTTTTAATGCTATTTCAAAGATGAACTAGGCAAGAGCTGGAGCTTCTGGCCGTCTCGCCTGAAGATCAAGCAGGCGTACGTGGAGCTTTTCCAGGAAATTCGGCATGGGCTATTAGGCCTTATAATCCCCCTAACCAACCCTGTCAAGGGCCTTTTTAAGGGGTTATAGGGTATAATGGCCCATGTAGTAAATTCGTGTAGGAAATTCGGCAGAATTCTTTCGGCGCTTCGCCCTACTTGGCTGTCCACTGGCGTCGGGGCGACCAGCTGGTGACCAAATGCCGAGCCGGAATGGACACTTCGGCTACTCGGCCCTTGGGGACATGTTTTTCTTATCCCTTCTTGGGTTTTAAGAGGCTCATATTCAGGAACACCCTAAACCCTAAACCCTAAACCCTAAACCCTAAACCCTAGGGGGCTTTTGGGGCCATCCTAGGCTAACTGTGGCTCGGCGCACGACTTGCAGCGCCTCGTCAACAAGAAGCTGAACCTCGGTAGGCCCGTGGGACATTTTACATTGTCCCTTATTGGGGTTTAGGGTTTAGGGCTAGGGTTTAGGGTTTAGGGTTTAGGGGGTTTAGGGGGTTTAGGGGGTTTAGGGGGTTTAGGGGGTTTAGGGGGTTTAGGGGGTTTAGGGGGTTTAGGGGTTTAGGGGGTTTAGGGGGTTTAGGGGGTTTAGGGGGTTTAGGGGGTTTAGGGGGTTTAGGGGGTTTAGGGGGTTTAGGGGGTTTAGGGGGTTTAGGGGGTTTAGGGGGTTTAGGGGGTTTAGGGGGTTTAGGGTTTACGGTTTAGGGCTTAGGGCATATAAGATTCAGGAGCACTTCTTCAGAGGGTTTCAAGGGGCCATCCTAGGAACGGAAGGCCTTGGCAGGTTTTGTGGCAACAAATGAGAAGGACAACGAGACCCTGGCACAGCTGCAGCAGTTCGGATACAAGCTTCAGTTTCTTGGTTTAGGGTTTAGGGTTTAGGGTGGTAGCCCAGTGGTACTGTTTGTTTTTTTTTTTTTGGGGGGGGGGGGGGGGGGGGGGGGGGGGGGGGGGGGAGGGGGGGGGGGGGGGGGGGGGGGGGGGGGGGGGGGGGGGGGGGGGGGGGGGGGTGGGTGGCTTAAATAGGGTCTATTTGGAAGCTGGGACTCGGGTTTTCTTATAGCCATACACGTTTCCACGAGGGTACGCTGCTGTCACGTCAGTCGTACTATGGAGGCCTCAGGAACAAGAACCAGGTAGTTCCTCTTTTCTCTTCTCTTTTTCTCCTCAATCCTAAAGTCGAAGGCTCTCGTGAGGAGAAGAGAAGGGAGAGAAGGAGGGAAAGATAAGAGGAACACGATTTTCATGGGAAGAGCCAAGAAAAGAATAGAAGAGAGATAAAACAAGGCGCAAAGAAGATGGTACTCTTCTTTATCTATCCTCTCTCCCTTATCTCTCCGTTCCCTCTGTCTTTTCGAAATGAGAAAAACAAAAAGAAAGATGAAAAGAAGAAGGGTTAGGAAAAGAGCCGAAGAGATAGGCCGAAAAGAGGGGTATGGTGAAGTACGGCAAAGGTCCACGCACAAGGAGTCACCTTCTGCTTACCCTTCCACTGCTTGATTTTACAAGCTCCTTTCTTGTGTTTTATCAGTTAAAATTAAAAGGAAACAGAAGGAGAGAAGGGAAAGGGAAGTGAGAGAGGAGAGACAACAAGGAGGCCATTTTAATTTCCTGTGAGTTATCAAAAGGAATGCAATATTATGGGAAGAGCAATGGAAAAAAAAGAGTGGAAGAGAAATTAAGACAGGAGAGGGAGGTGCAAAAATAAGGCAAAGAGAAGATGGTGCCGTTTTCATCTCACCTCTCGTTCTTATCTTCCTCTTCTCTGGTTCTTTTCCCTGTGAAATAAAAAAACAAAAGGAAGGACAATGAACATATAAAGGAACCCGTTTTCGTTTTCCGTTTGGGCACAAGGAAAAAAAACAGAGGCGATAGGGCGAGAGGAGGGGTTTGCTGAAGCATGGGGAGGGTGTACGGGCAAGGGGCCAACTCCGCCCACTTCCCCCATCCATTGAAAGAGGAAAAGGAACAGGGCCTCCATTCCCCTCTTATTCTTCCTTTCTTGCGTTTTTGTCGTTTAGAAGGGAACAGGAGAAGAGGAGGGAGAGAGAAGGAGAGAGGGGACATAAAAAGGGTTGCATTTTTAATGGGAAGAGCAAAGAAAAGACCAGAAGGGAGATGATGGGAGAAGAGGGGGAGACAAAACAAGGCGTACAGAAAATGGGCAGATAAGAAGAGAGGAAAGGGAATGACCAAGTACAATGAGGAGTTCTTCAATTTCCCTCCCTTTCTCTTATGTTACTTTTCCTTCTTGTGGGGTGTCCCTTTTTCTCTTGAAGATGCAGAAAACGATTGAAAAGGACACCCGTTCCATCGCCCATATGTAGGGAAAGAGAGAGAATCATGAGCATCAGCTGGGCTTGCTGCCAATCCAACATGGGCGTCCCTTTTAATCGCATTCTGTGTCCTTTTTTCTCGCTTGAAGATGCAGAAAACGATCCAAAAGCACATCTGTTGGAGGAAGAGAGAAGGAGAGAGGAGAGATACCAAGGATTGCATATTTAATGGGAAGAGCAAGGAAGAGAATAGAAGACAGATGAATAGAGAAGATGGCGCTCTTCTTTATCTATTCTCTCTCCCTTGTTTCTCCCTTCCCTCTTTCTTTTCGAAATGAGAAAAACAAAAAGGAAGAACTATGAGAAGGAGAAGAGTAAGGAAAGGAACAGAAGAGATAGGCCGAGAGGATGAATATGATGGAGTATTATGGAAAGGCTCACGCGCAAGGAGTCACCCTCTGCTTACCTTTTCACTGCTTTATCATATGAGTTCCTTTCTTGTGTTTTATCAGTTAAAAGGAAGCGGAAGAAGAGAAGGGAAAGGGAAGTGAGAGAGGAAAGATAACAAGGATGCTATGTTTCCCGAAGCGTGCTGCAAGGAATAGAAGAGACAGGAAGCAAGGAGACGGAATCACAAAATAAGGCGCAAAGCTGTACATATCATCTCTCCCTTGTCTCTCCCTATTCCCTTTCGAACTAGAAAAAACCATTCTTGCTTTTCACAGATAGGTTCCCTCTCTCCTCTTCAGGAAATCCCCTTTCCCTTATGTTGCTTTTTGAAGCGAATAAGAAAAATAGCAGATAAGAAGAGAGGAAAGGGTCAATTTCCCTCCCTATCTCTTATGTTGCTTTTCCTTCTTGTGGGGTGTCCCTGTTTCTCTTGAAGATGCAGAAAACGATTGAAAAGGACACCCGTTCCATCGCCCATGTGTAGGGAAAGAGAGAGAATCATGAGCATCAGCTGGGCTTGCTGCCAATCCAACATGGGCGTCCCTTTTAATCGCAGTCTGTGTCCTTTTTTCTCGCTTGAAGATGCAGAAAACGATCCAAAAGCACATCTGTTGGAGGAAGAGAGAAGGAGAGAGGAGAGATACCAAGGATTGCATATTTAATGGGAAGAGCAAGGAAGAGAATAGAAGACAGATGAATAGAGAAGAGGGAGAGACAAAACAAGGCGCAGAGAAGATGGCACTCTTCTTTATCTATTCTCTCTCCCTTGTTTCTCCCTTCCCTCTTTCTTTTCGAAATGAGAAAAACAAAAAGGAAGAACTATGAGAAGGAGAAGAGTAAGGAAAGGAACAGAAGAGATAGGCCGAGAGGATGAATATGATGGAGTATTATGGAAAGGCTCCCGCGCAAGGAGTCACCCTCTGCTTACCTTTCCACTGCTTTATCATATGAGTTCCTTTCTTGCGCTTTATCAGTTAAAAGGAAGCAGAAGAGAAGGGAAAAGCAAAAATTGAGCCCAACATTTTAGGACCAGGGCTTGCGATCTGACTCTTTGGAGCAAAAATCGATTCCAAAATCTTAGGGACCAGGGCTTGCGATGTTACTCTTTGGAGCAAGAAATGAGCCCAAAATCTTAAAGACCGGGGCTTGCGATTTCACCTTTTGGAGCAAATACTGGGCCCAAAATCTTAGGGACCAGGGCTTGCAATTTGACTCCGTGGAGCACAAATCGACCCCGAAATCTTAGGGACCAGGGCTTGCGATTTGACTCTGTGGAGCACAAATCGACCCCGAAAACTTAGGGACCAGGGCTTGCGATTTGACTCTTTGGAGCAAAAATCGACCCAAAAATCTAAGGGACCAGGGCTTGCGATTTTACTCTTTGGCGCAAAAACTGGGCCCCAAATCTTAGGGACCAGGGCTTGCGATGTCACTCTTTGGAGCAAAATTGAACCCAAAGTCTTAGGGACCAGGGCTTGCGATTTGACTCTTTGGAGCAAAAACTGGGCCCAAAATCTTAGGGAGCAGGGTTTGCGATTTGACTCTTTGGAGCAAAAACTGGGCCCCAAATCTTAGGGACCAGGGCTTGCGGTTTGACTCTTTGGAGCAAAAATTGAACCCAAAATCTTAGGGACCAGGGCTTGCGATTTGACTCTTTGAACCAAAAACTGGGCCCAAAATCTTAGGGACAAGGGCTTGCGATGTCACTCTTTGGAGCAAAAAATGAACCCAAAATCTTAGGGACCAGGGCTTGCGATTTGACTCTTTGGAGCAAAAACTGGGCCCAAATCTTAGGGACCAGGGCTTGCGATTTGACTCTTTGGAGCAAAAATTGAACCCAAAATCTTAGGGACCAGGGCTTGCGATTTGACTCTTCGGAGCAAAAACTGGGCCCAAGATCTTAGGGACCAGGGCTTGCGATGTCACTCTTTGGAGCAACAATGAATGCAAAATCTTAGGGACCAGGGCCTGCGATTTGACTCTTTGGAGCAAAAATTGAACCCAAAATCTTAGGGACCAGGGCTTGCGATTTGACTCTTTGGAGCAAAAACTGGGCCCAAGATCTTAGGGACCAGGGCTTGCGATGTCACTCTTTGGAGCAAAAAATGAACCCAAAATCTTAGGGACCAGGGCTTGCGATTTGACTCTTTGGAGCAAAAACTGGGCCCCAAATCTGAGGGACCAGGGCTTGCGATTTGACTCTTTGGAGCAAAAATTGAACCCAAAATCTTAGGGACCAGGGCTTGCGATTTGACTCTTTGGAGCAAAAACTGGGCCCAAGATCTTAGGGACCAGGGCTTGCGATGTCACTCTTTGGAGCAAAAAATGAACCCAAAATCTTAGGGACCATGGCTTGCGATTTGACTCTTTGGAGCAAAAACTGGGCCCCAAATCTGAGGGACCAGGGCTTGCGATTTGACTCTTTGGAGCAAAAATTGAACCCAAAATCTTAGGGACCAGGGCTTGCGATTTGACTCTTCGGAGCAAAAACTGGGCCCAAGATCTTATGGAATTAATTGAATTAATTGAATTAATTCAATTATTTCAATTATTTCAATTAATTCAATTAATTAATTTATTTCCAAAGGGGGGGGAGGGGTGGGGGCTGGGGAATCCCCCCATTTGGAAATAATTGAATTAATTGAATTAATTGAATTAATTGAATTAATTAAT